GACGCACATACGGATATGCGTATACCGTATATTCATCAGAGTGTCCCAGACATTCCTTGGTTACGGAATTGGGTTTCCCACGACTCCAGTCTGCCCCAGACTGGGCGCTCGCTTTTGGAGCTTTCACGTGGCTTCCCCCAAGGCTCCCAAAGTAGGTATTCCTTTTCGACTTTTGACCCCCAATGCTGCCCCAAGGTTTAGGGTTTAGGGTTTAGGGTTTAGGGTTTAGGGTTTAACGTAGGTATTGTTCGTGCGCTTGGAGCCCTAGGGTTGATGTTTCGTTGGTGTTTGGGTTTTTGGGGCTCAGGGATTGGGATTCCCAGGCGGAGAAGTTGGAGCTCACGATTCTCCATTACTGAGAGCAGCCCTTTCCCGCAACATGCCATGGGGCTGAGAGTTGTTTGAGTTAGGGCTGACAGCAAAGTCTTAAGGTTTTTGTGACAATTTTGGTTCTTCAGGCCCTCATGGCACCATAAGCTACAAGGAATGCATTGTCATGGAGGCCCGGGAAAGGGCCATAAACCCTTAGCCCGAAGCCCTGAGCCCTGAGCCCTGAAGCCCCAAACCCTTAAAGCCTAAGCCCCAAAACCGCGTCTGGAAGCTTTGCAGTCCTGGTGGGACACGAAGTGGGAGTTTCTAAAAACTGGGGTTCCCCTTTGTAGGGTTTAGGGTTTAGGGTTTATAGGGTTTAGGGCTTCAAAGACTCTTCAGGGTTCAATAGGGGAACCCGACTATTCGGCAACTCCCCCTCGTGGGCAGGGGGAGTCCCCTTTTCCAAATCCCCTTGCCCCACGGCGAAGATGAGATGGTCGTCACGGGCCAGCGGCTCACACGGCCTCTGGCTCCGCCTGTATGGCAATTAGGGTCCTTTTTTTTGGAGAGCAACTATCCACAAGAACCAGAACCAGAGACTTCGATGACAGGCCTTTTTCAAGACAGGGACCCTAATTTTTGAACGACCCCCGCTGTGAATCGCGCTATCCTGCTCTTGCCATAGGCGGAGCTGTTTGGAGCAGTCAGGAAGCCCAAAGGGCCTCCTTGTCCAGGGAAGGTACTTAGAAGGGCCTAAGGGCACCTGAAAGGCGCATGTAAAGCTGGCCAGGTATGCTCATCCCTCCCTCTAAGGGCCTTCCCTGCGTTTTGACGATCGCACGTCAGCTACTCGTCGGTGAACGGAGAGCCTCAGGCAGAACAAACAGCGAGCACTTTCGAAGTACTCGGCCAGCTTGGGCGGTTAATGAATCGTAACCTAAGTTCAAGGCTGCTTGCCGTTGCAGGCTGTTCCAGAAGCACCGTTTGCTCGAAGCCCTTGGCCGACAGTCGGAGCTGTGAACGAGAGATGCAGGCAAAAATTGTCGAAAGGTCTACATGGGAAATTCCCCACAAAGGGGGTACCCTTGCTATACCCGAAATAGAATAGAACCCCTTTTATTTGGGCCCCCGAAAAGGGTACGCCTGAGTCCATTAGAGAGCAAGGGAGGGGCCCATCGAGAAACCCGAATTCCGGGTCACAAGTTCCCTAAGCTAGTGCGCAAAACCCGACCCTACATGTGCAACCCTTGAACGCAAACACGCAACAATCAGCCCATGGTGTGGGGTTTGGGTTTGGAATATAGGGTACTCGTTGCAGGGCTTACAGAGTTGAAAGGCGGTTGATAGGGTTTATAGAGTTTGTAGGGTTATAGGGTTTACCGGGTTTATATGGTTTTACGGGTTTAGGGCTATTCTGCAACCAGGGAAACCTCGAGGATCATGCTGTGGGCGAGCCATCAGTACCCTGCAAGGAGTCCGAGGAATTGTTGGGGAATTGTTGAGTTCAGGGTTTAGGGTTTGGGGTTTGGGGTTTAGGGTTTAGGGTTTCGGGCTTAGAAGCCTCGACTTACCAACGCAATTTTAAGCCGTCGGGGGCCCAAAGGGTACAAAAAAGGGTGCCTCATTCCCTCATTCCCTACGAAGAACCAGCCAGAAGTTGTGGACCTGCTGCCAGGGAAGCCGCGTGGATCGCTTGAACCGGATGTTGGACCAGGAGACCTGCCTTCTTCGGGGCAGGGTTTAGGGTTTAGGGTTTAGGCAGGGTTCAGGGTTCAGGGTTCAGGGTTCAGGGTTCAGGGTTCAAAAAGGTTGCGGGTAAGTTGCCTTCCACAGTCCTGTCGGCTCCTACAGAGTGTGGCCTCAACATCATCAACATTGGTGCAGCCGTGTAGCTAATGTCCTACACGCCAAACCCTAAACTGACTTTGGGCGCAGATCTGGGCTAGAGGGCCTCGTAGACATCCGGGCCAGGGCTCGAACCCCTCAACCGGGGTTGAGGGTTTAGGGTTTGGGATCTGCACCCCAGACTCTGACGCCCAAATCCACGCCCCAACATCAGCTGCGGGGTCCAGATTTTAGGGCTGAGGGCACGAAACAGGGGCGCAGCCCTCGACCCTGAACCCTAAACTGGTTGCTGTTCCTAACTGAGGGATTCGGGGCTTAGTGTTGAGGATCCCTTCATACAGCAGTCTGGAAAAAACGGGCCTACAAGGGAATTTGTTCATATATTTGAGCCGTATTTCGAAGAACCCTCCCCCCCCCCCCACCCCCTAGTTGGCAGGTTTCCCTATCCCTAAACCCTAAACCCCTAAACCCCTAAACCCCTAAACCCCTAAACCCCTAAACCCCTAAACCCGTAAACCCCTAAACCCCTAAACCCCTAAACCCCTAAACCCCTAAACCCCTAAACCCCTAAACCCGTAAACCCCTAAACCCCTAAACCCCTAAACCCCTAAACCCCTAAACCCCTAAACCCCCCTAAACCCCGAAACCCTAAACCCCTAAACCCAACCCCTAAACCCCTAAAACCCTAAACCACTAACACCCGAAACCCTAAACCCCCAAACCCCTAAACCCCTAAACCCATAAACCCCTAAACCCCTAAACCCCTAAACCCCTAAAACCCTAAACCCCTAAACCCCTAAACCCCTAAACCCTAAACCCCTAAACCCCTAAACCCCTAAACCCCTAAACCCCTAAACCCCTAAACCCTTAAACCCCTAAACCCCTAAACCCCTAAACCCTAAACCCCTAAACCCCTAAACCCCTAAACCCTAAACCCTAAACCCCTAAACCCTAAACCCTAAACCCCCAGTTGGGAAAGTGGGGGCCACAGGGATCCTTTGCCTTGAACGAGAGCTTTGCGGCGGGACAGGCTGGGCTGAGGGTTTTTTAGGGTTTAGGGTTTAGGGTTTAGGATTTAGGGTTGGGGTTTCTAGGGCTGGGTTTTTAGGGTTGAGAGTTTCGGGAATAGGGGCCTGTCGGGCTGAAATGCTACGGTTCCTGACGTTTGGGTTTGGGGTTAGGCTTTAGGGTTGTTTGCTCTCCTTTACGGGGCAGGTGTGGGGAGAACTTGAGCACCTCAGATATCCCTTAGTAGCTGAGTGGGCACACTTTACACGTTGTAATCCCCGAAAGGACTGAAAGCGTACACTTTTGGGGGGCTTATGAACTCAGCAGCTAAGTTCCCGGTCTGCACAAGACGCAAGCGAAGCACGACGAAGCACATCCAACGGAATCGGTACAGGCCTCCTCAGTGCCATGTAGACCCTAAACCCTAAAACCTAAACCCTAAACCCTAAACCCTAAACCCTAAACCCTAAACCCTACAGGACCCGCGACAGTGTGGGTTTGCTGCTTGTTTTCAAAGAACAAGGAAGAAAGAGTCCGATGAAGCCTCAAGACTCAAGACTCTGGAACCTCAGCCTAAGGGAAGTGACACGGTCCTTCAATACATGGTGTATAAGGGTTCCCCAATTACCGGCCCATATTCAGGAACCATGCACCTAGCCGAAGTTTCAGGGGATTTGCGTCGGTTTGGGGGTCGCTTTGCAGGGATCATTGCGCCTTTGCAGTGGTTCCCTGGTTTGGGATCCACGTACTAGTGCCCGTTTGTTTTGGTCTCTTTTTTTGCATGTCACGAAATGGACAGAATTTCTGCGTTTACGTCCGTCTCCTCGTCCTTTCGTCCTTGGAGGCCTTCACGCTCGACTTCTTTGGCGGCCTGTGCGAGCCTTAGAGAAGGGTCTGGAAGAAATGGGTTCAACTCCCATTCGCCTTGGCAGAAGCAGGGTTGGCCTCGGGCTGTGTCAAAAACCCTCAATTTACCCTAAGCCCTAAACCCATGAAGGAATCCACCCCCCCCCCCAAAAAAAAAAAAGAAGAGTAAAGCAACAAAAAAGAAAAGAAAATGTAAGAAAGAAAGCGAAACAAGGCTGGTACGGAGACCGCTTGGTATAGGTGCAGGGGGTCTGGCTACAAGGTTGTTAGCTTGAGGCCTCGAGGCGAACTGACCCTATAAAGCCTGCTGATCACAGCAGCCTTTGTGTCTCAATCCTGGGTCTGACTGCTGAGAGTCTTGAGAGTCTCAATTGGGCAAGAAGTATAAGGGTCGGAATGTTTACCAATGGTATTCCCTTCTGGTCCTTTTATACGTATACGATAATAACCCTCAAAACCACATAGTTAATTATTCAGGCCCCTATGGTAGACGCTGGGGATGATTTGATGGTTTGTCGAGGTTTCAAGGGCTCTACTGAGCTGAGAAAAAGCAACTTGCAGACTTTAGGGCCCTAGATAACACTACATATTTTGTACAACCTGTTTTAACCATAAAAAAATATATATGTATACATGTAGCTCATAGAAATGTGGAATTTGTTAATGGTACCCCCATCCACAACCAAGCAGTTTCCCGTCCGATGTACCTTCTTCGCAACTGCATAAGCCTTCTACGCCTGTTGAAGTCCCAGGCTGGGGCATATCTACAAGTTCCCAGCATGCATCGAGTTCTTACAGGCGGGCAAGATAAGGAGTTTGGAATTGGCAGAGGTACCGTTTGAACCATGAATGAAGGGATTAGGAATGCCAAGTGGTGGGACAGCTGGTCTTAGGAATGGAGATCAAATGAGGGTACCCGTCGTACCCCTGCCAACCCTATACCCCACATCCCTGAACCTAAGAATCCGACTATCCTACAGGATAGCTAGTAGAAGATGCCAGCATCCTATAATACCGCAATCAAGATTTCTGCTGAAGAAAGCCTCATCAAAGGATTCACCAAACACGAAACACGGACCCTTACTTGGACGTCCCTAACTGTGGCTGTCTCGGGGCCTGATGCATGCAGGGTTCAGGTATTCAGGCTTTAGAGGCTTGGGTTTTAGAGTTGGGGAGTTCGTTATCTTTATAGCGAATAAAGTCATGGAGTTTTAGAAGAACAATAGACTACTACTCCTACTAATACTGCTACTACTACACTTACTACTTACTCTTGCTACTTACTGCTTACTACTTACTACTTACTGCTTACTACTTACTGCTTACT